ATCAGCTTCCATGGGCACACGTGTTACATCAAGGAGCGTATCCGGTGGGGAGGGGTCACGGGGCAACATCCCCCCAATTTTTTTTTATCATTATTATTTATTTTACAAATAATACTTCATAATGTGAGTAAGAAACAATGTAATCGGTATATTTAATTTCAAATATTAGCACCAAAAACCTGGGAAACAAGAACAGCAAATAAAGCAAGGATATCGGGACCGTTTGATTTTTTCTTCCCAACATAATGTTGAGTGAGCCCGAAGCTGCGTTCGCTTTTGAACTTGCCCGCGACTCCAAAAGCTGGATACGCCGCTGGTTATATCCGGCCGTTGAATGTCCGAACATAGTTTGTACGAGTTTAAAAGGTTTAGTGTCAGAATTCCCGATTTAGAAGGGTAAATCAGAAGCACATATTAATCTACTTATTAGCTGTCTGGTAATGGTGTTGGATTTCAGCTTTGAACCACTCAAATGAATTAAAGATAAAAGCTTCCAAACTTGTTAGACCGGGAAAACGCAAGGCTCTTTTGCCAAAAGTAGGATACAGATAGCTTGCTGAACTGTTTGGTAACCAGATTCAAACAGTCGATGAAGGAGTGGTTGATTGAGTAAAATTCCTTTCACTATCTGGAAAATTACACAAGTTCGCACATTGTCAGGTGGTCATCGAGTTGCCCAATTAGTTAAGCTGTTCACCATGCAACCTGTGGGGGGGGGCGCGCAAAATAATCAACCGCTGTGATATGGGGGAAGGGACACTCTCAAACTGATCACGTTACAACAAAGAAAGAATTACCAGCATCTCCCAGCATAACGAGGGTTATTTTTGTCTTTATTTCCACAGGACTCTCGTCATTTGGAAGAAAATTGGAGGTCACTATAAATCTTCCTGGAGATGTACAATGATAATTAGCCATTCGGGATAATTGGAGAAACGTCAGAACTCTGAAGGCCCTCAAGAAATAACGGACAAATTGAGAGAGAAATGAAAACTTTCAGTCCAATTTCCTTACTTTAGTAGACGTGAAATATGTGACATTCTAAACGAAATGGTGGTTTCCAACCAACCCCAAACTCATGCCTAAAATTTACCCTTGTGTTTTTCCTCAAGGAGCACTTGGAAAAGTTACCTGGAGATGGTTTTATAAACAGAATTTTAATATCGACCTTTCACTTCTGGCAATATTGTTTCTTTCCATTTCATGTGCTTAGCTGGAAACGAGATTATACAGCGTTGCACAGATTTACTTACGGAGTTTTTGTCAGCAATGGTTAGATTAAACTTTGGTCAACGTATAGAGTTCCTTTAAGTTTATTTCCTCATAAATAGTAAATGGTTAAAATACTTTAACCTGTTTTGATTACGAGCTTTTACCGATAGACTAGCATAAAGGGTCAGTTTTCGGCAGAGTATTATCTTTCAGGTCAGGTAATTTTCAGCTTCAACAAATTAACATTCTGGCAGACATTTTGCAAAGGCCTTTTTTTCTGACGTTATTCTTTAAAGAATAAAATGAACGAAAAAGAAAATTCTGAAATTTTCGCCTGTTAGTTTTCCTGTCCAAGGGTCTCTCTACAGTTGGTACAAACTCACTGCATGGGCGCGCAAGTTTATGCGCGTTTGACGCGGGATAAGCTGATTGCGCGCAACGAACTTATTCTGGAATGTATGACAGGATGCGTTCGCATCATCTGGAGCCAGTACACGCATATTCTCCCCATGCGCCCTGGGATAACTCGAGTAGCACACTGGAACGCGGCAACCCCTGATAGGTAGTCTGGTAGGTGGTTGCGCCAAGGCGCGCTAGCTAGGGGGCGTGTGTTCTTGTCCCACCTTACTTCCGAAGGGGCCAATTTCATCATGGCCGTGGCACGTTGGTCCACGTAAAAGTGACTCTCGTTGGACCACATTGAAGGTATGCATGATTAGGATGCATGGTGCAAAACAAGATGGCGGACAATATTGAAAGGGGTTTTAGTTGCGGTATAATCATAAATCCTCTCCCCTCCGAGTCCTCAATCCGGTTACAAACAATTCTATGGGTATGGTTGTTCTTCCATTCATTTAATATTTATTCCAGCTTGTAATAAGATGCAGAACAAAGCAAAGAATCGCTACAATATCAATTCGAGATGCACCTGCATGGGCAGTGGGCACGACTTAGACAAACACACGTAGGGCCGTACATCATGGCTCTCTTTTGAAATCTGTCTTTTAACTGTCACCAGAACAGCCCTACTTGTATGGAATCTTTAATAGTGCAGATTGTTGGAAACTTTGAACACATTTTTTCCCCAAATAAAAACAGCCAGACAATTTTACTTACGCCAGTCGACTACTCAGAGTTTACTATCTGACTATCCTCTTAAAATTCCCATGACATAAATTACCGCATTCGTCACTTCTTTTTTTTTTTTTTAAAAAAAAAAAGGCATCCCCAAACCCAGCTTGTAATTTGTGCATACGATGTCCGTGGCCGTTTTGAATAAATACGCACGATACAATTTTCATCAAAAACTTAATGAAGGTGAATTTATCCCGATATGTCATATTAATTTTTTTGAAGAAGCCTCAATTGAAGGCCACCAGGCGCGACACATTAGCAGAACTATAGTAGGGTTGTGCTATTGTGTACGCAGCACATACATGTACATATACATGTATAAAACGAGTTTTGTGGTACAGTATGTACGTACGTGTATATTGGCTTACGGTTTTACTAAAAATTCTTTTTATTATTTCACTTTTTAAATGCAAGCAGATTTGGGGCCAAATTACAGAAGCAAGTGTCCTGGAAAGTCCTGAAGGTTGCACCAGAGAGCATCTAGAATCTAAAATTTCTCGGGGCCCTTGGGCGGGCCCCGAACCCCAGGCCGTGGCTTGGCAAAAATTGATCACCTAAGGATAGCAAAAACTCGTGCCCCCTTTTCTTATACTTTCTGATGGGCCTGTATTAGTCTCATACCTAGGGTGAATTTGACTATGAACCACAGTGTTGACGGTGGAAAAACACTAAGACCTGGAAGACTCGGCCACAAAAGGGAAATTTATGAATCATTCAGTCTAACCCATCGAATTTACATTCCAATACCTAAAAACGACGAAGTAATAATCTTTTCAATGAGTGCCCACTTGTGCGTTATTTGGATTGATTGTGGGGCTCCATTCATACCCACCCGTTTAATTAAAGAAAGGGGTACATTTTTACACAAAAGAAATCAGACTTTGAGGAATACGTTTGGTCTTGATTTTCTCGCTGCACCATCTTCTAGGAGATGTAAAACAACTGATCACAAAATAATAAAAAATTTGAGACAATGAAATATTTTAAAAAATCCGACGAGTTTGAGTGGAATTAGAGGCCTATTGCTCATAGCACTTTGGCCATGAAAACGCATATTAAAATAAGCATTAAAAAACCAAACAAAAAGCCTTGCAAAATGGCGAAACAAAAATTAAAATTCATGCTAAATGAGATGCTAAGATGACTTTACCACGATTGAACTAAACATTACATTGCAAGAAATGCAGTTATCATTTGCACTTCAGCATTTCGGCTGAACTCGTGGATCTAACCAAGAACGAAAGGTATACTCTGCATTAAATCAGCTTGATTTGAATCCAACAGCCCCGGATCTGAATCAATCAGCAACATGATAGGCTGCCCTCAACTTTTCAATTAACTCCAGTTTTTCTTGCTTCGGCAGGAAGGATGCACGTGCTGCATTGAATGTCTGTAAAGAATTAAAAACAACAACACCATAGGGCTTGTGTTGGAAACGATGAATTTCAGATATAGCCTTGGTCAAGGCGTTCGTCAATGATCAAGGCTACTGCAGATAAGGACCTTGATATAATGAATCGACCCAGTGTAAGCTTGAAACAGATTTACTTTGATTAAAAGCAAAAGAAGCATGAATAGATATTAATTACAAAATGCAATGCCATTAGGTGTCAATTTTTTCAGCAGGCTACCATTGTATTGCAAGAGGTTATGGGGTGAATGACCTCTTGAATGCCTACCCATATACGAGTCCATTCATGTTGGGGTTTGTTTGGGGCGAATCTCATTGCACAGTGGCTCCATGATCGAAACACCGCAAATGACCAGTGATAGCGTTGCAATGGCCACAGGATTCATCTATAGGCTATTGTAACTACCGTCAGCTAAATTCCGTGCAAGTGGACGTTATTTTCTAGGAATGGCGTTATTCCGTCTTACCCCTTGGGGTATGGGACCCGCAATCGAATCATCCTTCGGGGTCTTTCTGGTGCACAAAAATCAATCACTTCGTTAGATTACATTGTCAAGTCGGAAGCACACAACATGCACCATTGCCATCATATGGTGTTGCAGTGGACTTGCACTATTATATTCTTCACAGATTTAGACCGGTGATATTAGGCCAAAAATGTCTTTCGTTTCAGGTGGTCAGCGCGCGCGTTCAAGCGTGCGCGTCAATCTTTTTTTTTCTGTGAGAGCTGCAACAGCGCCCCCGATTGCCGCACAACCTTAACATTTTCTGCAGGGAGCTGGATGTTTTACCAAGGGTGATAGATCCCGACGAGATCGATGTTGAACACTGATAGCAGACTATGGATGAGACGGTTTTTGTTGTCAGCTTATAATCATAATAAAGCTGGTATAGTTCTGTGACTCGACAACGTGTGTCTATAATTGTCTGTACGATCCAACCCTAGAGGAGGGGGAAAAAGCCGCGTCGCAGCATCGACTCCGGAACATCAGTCTGACCAGAGACAATCTTTTGGGGGCCCTACGCCTGTCAAGGCTTCTCGAAGTATTATGGTGGTCAGAAATGGTATTGGATCTCCTTTGAAAATAAATGTCAGCAGGGATGGAACAATTTCCTAAACAGGCAGGGCTTCTTCTATTTGTCAGTGTTTTGGTTTTTCATAATCACATATTATACACACACCTCCTACAGCCTCCTTGCGCTGTCTATAAAATCAAATTTACCCCAATTGTAAATATTAGTTTTTAGCCAGATATTTCGTACCGAAGACACAGGCGATGCCTCCCATAAAGAAATTCAATTTAGGATAAATCTGCAAATTTTTAATGGTATATAGACTACATACCACTTGTATTGCCTGCTCATCTGATAGTCCAAAGTATTTCCTAGCAATCTCAAACTCGTCATTGATGGTGTTCCCAAAGACCATCGGGTCGTCAGTGTTCAGTGAAAAGTTGATCTGATCCTTGATGAACCTAGGTCACAACGACAAGTCAACAAGTTGCTTAGGCTGGTAGACCTGATGAATCGTCAACAGAGACACAGTTTTTTCTTGACGAATTTACCAGCGCTGCATGGGGCATCTATGCAAGACAAATTTGAAAACTATCAGCTAGGTCTCGACATGTATGACGACTTCACAAAAATACTTAACGGCCAAGAACATGGTTGCACTAAGCTCACTGCATACGCTTTTACGTGGAGAGAGCCAATGACTCCTGTTTGAGACACAAGGGCATCCATCATTAGAAATTGGATTTTTGTTTCAGGTTTTTCAATGTAAATGCATGTCCGACAATGGTTTATTATTAAACGTATGACTGGGTTAAAAAAATTGCGATGAAACATTATTTTCACAATCATTGATGGGAAAAGAATTTCTTTTCGTAATACTACGGCGTTATGAAGGAGTGAGAGAAGACGTTTCTGGCCCGAAGTGGGAGAAACACTACAAGGATCGCTGTCAGTGCTCGCGGGGATGTATGACACGCCAGTAGTGTGGTTTTTTTCTATAGGCTAAACAGAGTGCAGGTAATAAAACGAAAATGAAGAATAATGAAGGTTAGAGGCAATGGGGGAAACAGAAAAATAGACATATTCTGTAGGCACATCAAGTGTCGTAAAACGTTTCAGCAATGAAATAATATTCCATTCGGTTTTCAAGCACTTTTGGGTCTAGACAATCTATTACAGGGATCGAATTCACTTGGCATAGATTCTCATAGGCTTTGTACAAAACTGAAAATATTTCTTCCAGGTCAGAGAATGCAAGGTCGGTTATGCATACTGAGAACGATGTAAATTTTAATTACGGGTTTGGCCTTTTAAACCATGTGAACAATGTGACTCCCCCTGCACTGTACACGTTGTACGTATCGCATTGCAAAGTCTGAAGTACACAACCCATCCAATTTACCGATTTGCCGCCAAAAAAGTCTGTCAAGTCACGAAATGAATCTACTGATTGCAAATAACATACTTCTTGTCTGTAAAAAAGGAAATACCTCCAATCTGAACTGCTTTGCTAAGATTAAATTGGAGTGGGGTGGGAATGGATGCAGCATTATTCTACGGGGTTTTTGTTTCATGATATAGTTGTTTTATAAAGCTCAGAATTATGTAAAATTTGTGCACTTTATAAAACATGATTTGATCTTTCATAATACGGTGCAGTTAGAGGTTTGGTACCGTTTGTTCTACATGATGGCTGTTCAAAAGTTAAACAACTCAAATGTTTTTTCTTGTGGCTTTAAAAGCCTGCGGTAAGTATTCATTGGCGAATTCAACAGATGCGTGTAAAACAAAAGAAAAACAAGAGATGACAACCTGACACAAGGATGTTTTGTGAAGTCCGAGTCACATGACCCAGTGTAGACGCTGGATGTTGGGCAGATTTCAAAGTGGATGTCTTTATCTTTAACCATCTGAAAAAAAATCATTACGATCTTTTCTTAATGTTGGTTGCAGGTTTTTTTATTGGAAGCTTCTATACATAAATTGTTGACCTTGCTTTTCCTCGTTTCCTAATGGTTTTAGAAAAAAATCTTAACGTGCAGTGATTATTCAAATGCTACTGGGAAGGGGGAAATAACTGGGGACATTATAGTCTATGGCCAACCCATGTCCAAGTAGAATTTGTTTGTGAATAAACTGTTGGCATTTCCTTTCGAAGAAAAGACTTTAATTTGAAGTTTTCCAGCCCCTCTAAACCGTTCTTTTTTAACCAAGTCTACCTTTTCAAGTTTTTGAAAATGTGGGCAATACTTGTTTCTTGAAGGATTGGCTTTACTTGATTGAAGTTTGGCAAATTAAGAATTCAGAAAGATATTTCACACATGAATTATTGGTGCATACAATGAGTGTATAATTAATTGTTCGTTCTCCAATCTGTTACACTATTATCTGTTATCTGTTATAGCGGTACCAGACTACCACACAGTTCAGTTTGGCTGTTTCACAAACACATGCCATTAAAACAGACGCAACGAAATATATTGAAGCATGTGATTTCAGTTTAACTCGTCCCTGCCGTTCTTGCGAAGTGTTCGAATGGGTTAATTACTTTCGTGAGTGTGTCGCAGCCACGGACACACATATCAGTGTTGATTTCCGACTGCTTTATTTAGGGCGCCTGTGTCACGCGCACCCGGAAGTTATGGTTCAAGCGAATTCGATTCAACGTAGACTGGAATAATCATGCCATGGGTCTTGAAGACCAGCTCATTTTTACCCTTGGGGAGGTTGAGCCGAGCGAAGTTACCTTAGTGAAAGTGGTACATACATTATCATATACATGTACATGTATATCTATAGTTGACAAAGTTTACCACTCAAAACAGTGTACAGGAAATAAAAACAAGACTCACAATTACTTAGATATTTGGACTCAGTCTTATCAATGATTCAGTTGCTCGATGGTGTAGCTAGGTTTAACATAACACCTTCCCACTATTACACCTGCCCTGTGGTCGAGCTCGACACCGGCGCCTATATGACATTGACGATCTACCTGATAGATATCATCATCTTCCAGGACGTGGTAGCCATGTCCTATTCTCTCAGCTTTCAGTTCTTCTATGGCAATCTTCACATTGCCGGCTGGTCCACTTTCACCAGCATGTACAGTGCGATGAACGCCGCAACGTTCAGCCTCCTATAGGAATGATTAAAGCAGTAGAAATCTTTTAGAAATGCCAAACCCAAAGGAACAACTTCCAAACATTCGACCATATTAGTGCTCAACTCCATTGTCTGCTAATTGTATTGTAAAATCTCACTGCCGAGCCCAATATCTACCAAGGGCGACAGCAGCTTCACTGGGAACTTACAAGAAACTCTCTCTCTCTCTCGTGTCCTCATACGGGGCGCTCTAGTATGAATACAGGCGATGCGCAACGGTGTGCCTCCACGAGTTTGCGACGCGTTTGAAAAGGTCGACAGATTTCTTGTACTGTGATTGGTCAACGTGTTGCAAACTCTTGGAGGCGCACTATTGTGAAACGCCTGTATTGATCGTCAGATTCGTCAGTACATAATGGCTGAGTTCGGGCGGCTTGTTCCCGTATGTTCACGAACAGTTCGATTTGTTGTTCGTAGGTCGGCCGCTCGAACGCCGGGAAGAAACACGCAACATGGCGGCGTCCATGTACGTTACTCGAGAGTTAAGTTTTGGATGGGTTGAATTCTTTTCTATATAAACAGGAACATTCATTTCTGTGTTTGGGAAAATAATGTATGTTAATGTTGCAAAACTATCCATTGTCTACATGGTCTATGGCTTTGGAAGCTACCTCTCCACTTTTGCAGCTGTTTAAAAAACAAAATCTCACGAGTTTTTCCGTGTGTTTCTGTAAAACCCTGACGAGGAGGTGATGTGTGATCCTGTTACGAGAACAGTGTTCTTGAGTCGTGCTCCGGCCGTTCGAGCGCGAGAACAAGAAACCCGTGTCAAGAACAGACCATCCGAACTCGACCAATGACTCCCGAGGCGCAAGGCGTGAACGCATTATACGCCAGTGCGCATGTCTTATCACGCGTCTGATGAAATGTTATAGGGACTACATGCTGAATTAGGAACCCAACTCATTTTCCTGTATGGGGGTTATGCACGGCAGCCGTCTTCCCGCTCAATGCTTTTGTTATGGGGTATGGTTATAAAGCGGACAGGCAAGCGTCGTGTTTGTGAGTTTGAACCTCAGGTTTGTGAGTTTGAACGTCGTGTATGTGAGTTTGAACGTCGTGAGTGAGTTATGTGACGTGACATAGGGCGCTAGACACTAGGTGCGGTGCGAAGTTATAGATGGCGCTCTGCCCAGTAACAAAGGCAGATGTTAGCCGCGCATAGCTGTGTGTTAAGGAAGCGCGGCGCATAGGCTCCGCCTTGCGCATGATCACACGTAGCGCGCGCGCGTAGGCTATGCGTAGTTGCTGCAGCGGCCGGCTCGCAAAGCTATGTAAGGGGCGCACAGTCAAGGTTTAGTCGTCCGGAGTCAAGGGCTGACCCTGAGGTAAGGGTCGAGAATCCTGTGAAAGGGTTAAAGTCACCTAGCCTAGTCTGACTGTGCCTAAGTCCCGAGTGGTGCGTGTGTCGTTGAAGGGCTCGGTAGGTTGAGGGGCTAATTTGTGGTGCGGTACAGTTCCTGATTGGAGCTTGCGGTCAATGTAAGGGCGGATGTTCTCTCGTGACGTGAGTTAACTTGCGTACAGCGCAGCTCTGACAAGAAGTCCCGTAGACTTGCTAAAGTATCCGTATAGAACAAAAACACTGACCGGGAAAATGGCTGCCGTGTTTAATCCCCGGGTGTTGGGATGGGGTAGAGCCTGCTTCAAAAAGCACCGTTTCATACACAACAAGTCACGAAGCGAACATCGGAGATAAGCGGGAATTCGATCGAATCATTAGCTTCAATATTCCAAATAATTATACAAAATCCGCAGATTTTATCTTACATGTATCTAGATCATGGAGTCATAGGCACAGTTTTGTGTGAGTTTCCTCACCGTCATCAGGGATCGATATAGCAAATAAGGCCTAAGCTATAGGTTAAAGTGCTACTGGCGTTCAGATCAACTCCCGCACTGTTTTCGTGCTATTGCCCTACACATTTCGGGTGATTCACAATAGTGCGCCTCCAAGAGTTTGCAACGCATTGGCCAATCCCAATGCGCGAAATCTGTCGACCAAGCACGCGTTTGTAAATGGACAGATTTCACGCGTTGTGATTGGCCAACGTGTTGCAAACTCTTGGAGGCGCACTATTGTGGATTGCCCGTATTAAGTTTGGCACGCCTGCAACAAGGCGTCTAGTCTTGGCCTAATACACTGGTAAGGCATCCTTTACAGACCGTTTATTCGTTACTGATAGCAGTGTCACATAATGATAATGAGGTACGCATCTGCTTTAATTTGTATGCCATGATAAGAGCGCTTATGCAGTTTTTTAATAGCTAGGAATTACCTTTATAAAACTTGGGACATTTAACCTCAAGTTTACACTTTGCAAGTGGGGAAAGGGATTACCCACTTACTTGGAAAACCCGGATTATTTCATGGTGATATTCTTCACCTTCTGTTTCATCTTTACCGCCGCAGTCGGCAATATCAATGGCAACAACGAACTCGCTGAATTCCTGGCATAGCTGAAGACATTCCAAGGCCCACGCTGAATACGAAATGAAGTGTCATTGTCAAACATGTACATTATTTTTACCATGAACAGAAAGAATAAGTTTTAAACTTGTTTAATGCTGACATACAATCAAACATCTGAACCCCTCCTCCTACAATTACAACCAAAACAGCCACCTGTCAAAATTTTGATACTATACATGCATGGTTTACGAATCACACATACAAGATCAGGAACTACAGACATAGGTACAGGATATCGATATGAGGCTCGCTGATATCATATATTTTGAAATCACGATTCATGATTCAGAATGATCATCAACTCCGAAAATGTGATATGAGTCGCTGATATCAACAACTTTGAAACACGACACAAGGTGAGCAAATTCGATAACGCAAACAAAAGTTATTTTTTTAAGCCAAATCAAGGCTGAAAAGGACTGTACTTGTCAATCTGTACCTTGCAATATAACTCAGGTCACTTCATCTGACAAGAGACTATTGATATGCCTTTTCCTTTTGCAAGGGTGAGGTTTGCGGAAAAACAGAAAAGAAAACTTGCCAGGGGTCTCTCTGGCAGTGCATATGATAAGACGCGCTTTGACGTTGAAGTCTTTTTGTCCTTGTTCTATTCCCTCCACGATGCTACGCATCACGTCGTGAGTCGATAACGCTTTCTCTTTCACATGGCCACTCTCCGGATCCGAGTAGACCAAAAGATGCGGGCTAAATCGAGCCTCAAAGTAGACGACACCTTCCTTGGCTTTGTCCTCGCAAATTTCGTAAGAAATTCGGCGAAGAGCTTCTTTATCACCGCTAAGAGGATGGAAACAAAAGGCGATTATTTAGTAACATTGCGAATCTGTCATGAATCTGTTCGTTGCACAAATGAATACAGACTTATTGTAGTGATATAAAGAAAAATCACTCACATCAGAGGAGGTAAAAAAATCTTGAACGTGTCCAAAAACTTAGGAAGGGTTCCCATTTCAAAGTTCCGTATAGAACTTGTCATCTCTTTAGCGTTTGATCCTGGTACGTTGATTCCACGCTTCCTGGATGGGACAAAACTTACCAATTTATATCAATCTTTCTAATATAGTATCAGCTAAAAAATGTAGCAGTCAACCAATCCCTTGTCTACTACTTTGCTCGTAGCCATCGCCCTATCTATTAGGCAAGAATAGCAACCGATGTAAAGAAAACCACACACTACTGGAAAGACTTGAACTGGACAGAGCGCTTGAATTGAAAAGGCACAAGTTGATGTTTGCGTGAATTGTATGGTTCTGCATTGAAGTATTCAAATCGTTCAAGTGCATCGACGTTTGGCAATTTAAAGGGTATTGTTCATGAATCAGCTGGTCTGAACATTTTCCAATGGGAGTCGAGTGGTTCCTCTTTGCTCTATCGAACCCTAGAGCACCTTAAGTGCATTTCAATACTGATGCATGTAATCTTGAGTGAAAGCAGAAAAAGATATGGGTCTTTGTTTGAACATTTTCGATAGCTCTTGATGTAGCAGCTAGACGGTCACGTTTCTAAATCAGGAATAATTCCTCACCGTTTCCGAATATTTTCGAAACCTGCCGACATTTGCTGAACTCATTTCGTTAATACTCAGGAACAGACAGGTAATATCTGCAAATATTTGTTGTGCATAAAGTTATTGTCTTTACTGATTTCCTCACGGTTGACCACGTACAAATTCTGTCCATCTGGGCAACCACCTCGGGTCATTAGAATTCACTGCCGTGAAGGGAAGCTTGCCGTTGTGGGCTCAGCCAGCTGGCAATACATGAGATATCGATACGGAACAGGATTGTAAAGTTAACAAAATGACAAGTTGCAGTTAGCCTTTTGATCAAGCACACATATTCGTTCTTGACATACTTTTATCATTAAATTCACACAGAAGAGTTCCTTCTACAGACGTGTTCCTTTTACTTACCAAACGATTTTGATATTTGGTATAACTAGTCTAAGTCTTTGCTTCGACGTAGAGCCGTCATCATCCTACGCACCGTTTTGTGCGAAACTCCGCTGGCGCATGGCACACAGATAATCAAGTAGGCCTACGCAAGTGCAGCGCTTGTGTGACCAGCTAGCTGCTGGGCCGAACATCAGAACGATGTGTATCATCGCACAGTTAGTTGAGGGCAAAGGTTACTGTGCACAAACTCTCATAAAAACGATAAATATTCAAAAATTAATAAGAAATCAATGAATGAGGCAATGACAACGTAACTTTGCAAACAGGAATTTGGGCCAACTGTCTACGTACCCAAGAATTTCATGTTGATCGGAGTTTGTCTAGTATGTAGGCCCCCCAAAAGTCTCCGGTTTCTGGTCACCGCGCGCGTTGCCGTAGACCTGCGCGTTGCCAAAATAAAGAATTTTTTTTTAATTTTTCACTAACCGATTTCCAAAAGACGCGAAACTTACATGATCGGCAGGAATTCTGCTACCGCGTAATTTGAACGTGTTTTTGATCGGTGATTGAGTAATATGTACGGTGAAGGAATCCCATAAGGCCTCTACATATTTCAGTCGGGCACTCTGATCAGATGACGTCATTCATGTACCTTTACACGTAGGCCGTGTCCAAATCAGTTGGCTGCGGCTTGATATCATGCATGATTCTACGGGAACTAGCCGTGGATGCTGCCAAATACTCGGTGTAGTTCCGGCCGCGCCAATTGATTCGGACCCGGGCCCAAGTACGTCTGTGAACCAGACAAACGAAGTTGTCTTGGGTCCTGCGTAAGTATACAAATTTAAAACGCTTTTGAGTAACAAACCGTGAGGGGCCAGTCTATTTCAGTGTCGGTGAGGCAGTGGCCTTACATACGCATGCAGTGCATGCAGTGGCGATGGGCATGCATCGCGCCATGACAACCATACATGTAACAACTCGTGCATCGTTGAGAGTCTCTTGCCAAGAACAACGGTATTTTAGAGTGAGAGGATATTTTATTTTCTGAGCTGATTCCCCCTCATATGTTGAATGCAACTTGTTTCTTACAAATAAAACAGAAAACAGTGTGCACAGTATATCATTTTACCTCATGAGAAATTTATTTTCATTTTGACTCTGGAGCTGAACTGTTTTCATTCATTTTTTTCATGGGCTATTTGACATGCAACTTGTTTCCTCTAAAATAAAGTAGAAAACAATGTGCAAAGAATGTCATATACTACTAACTCATGAGAATTTCATTTAAAATCAGAACCTAGAATTGAACATTTATTTTTCGCATATGATTTTCATGGTTGTGCTACTGTATTCAAGCTCACTCTTGCCAAGATTAGAAGCTTCTTTTTGAGTGAGATGACTGAAATCATTGCCTCTTGTCATATTTTATGGTCTTTTTTTTATTATTTCAAAGTTGTTAATTCACACTTCTTGAATTAACAATGCCATGCGCTCTAAAGTACATGTATTTGTGCATGTACATCACTTCTAAGGAAAAAAGAAGAAAAACAACCGCCTCACCGCACCACTTTGAGACTAAACCGATGACCAGAAACCAGAGTCTTTTTCTGGCCTAAAATCGTATTTGTGCTGATGTCATCATGACGCCGACACATTTTCCAAATAACTCAAACATCTACTTTGCCTACCCGAGGTATTACAAAAATAATTTTGGAAACAAATTGTTTTGTTCAGGAAATACGTTGAGGAGAAGGTTAGAAACGAAAAAATTACAAAACTCGCAAGAAATCATCATGACATCATCCCAATCATCTATAACACGTCTTGTTTTGTATTTCTACCAAGATTTACTCAGATCCGACTTTTGGTTCTGGAGTTATGAGCTTCTAAAGAATTCAACCTTGATGGCTTGTCACGAGAAAAGTGATCGTCGCTTATGTGCCAAGTCTGAAGTCAAACAGATTGAATAAAGTGCAAAGTGGGTAAAAAATTGGTGCATGTAAAAATCCGGAAATAACGGTTATTGTGAAAAATAATTTGTTTGTCTTAATTGTCGTGAAATTTCCTCCTGGGTTGTTCAAGTTTTTCAAGCAAAGTTTGATTACCAAGAACATGTCTTTCTAGAATCTAACCGATACAAACGATTGTATTTTGAAAAGGTTTCTCGTGAAGAAAAATGCATTTTACTGACGCGGTCATATTAGGTCAAATCGCATTGACTTGTACAGCGGGAATTGCGCAATCACGCATTTTGTAACTTCTTAACTCCCAAATTTCTCCAAAAAAAAATTCATGCAATGTGTCTGTGGCAATGTTTATCGATATAACTGAGGCAAAACAAAGAACTAACGAGGCGACTTTGTGACCGGGTGAAAGTGTCCTATATTTCACAATCGCATCAACAGAACAAAAAGTATGCCCATTTCGCAAAATGCAAAAAAAAAGAAAAAAAAATTGACAAAAAGAACGTCTTTTTCGCAAAATGCGAAGAGGAAATTGCATGCGGTAATAGAAAGCAGCATGTCAGGTTACCTATTTTTAGATCATGGCATTTGCTGAGGTACACAATGAAGCTTTAAAAGGAACACTAGCTACACAAGAGCCGTAATAACTGGTAGGTATAGTAAACAATAAAGTAAAACAAATGTCGAACCAAACTAATTTTCAACCGCGACGTTTGCAAGGTCGAACCATGTTGTTTGGAAAATTCAACTACAATTTTTTGGCAGTTGAACAACGACGATTTCAAGTAGGTTTTAGAAAACTAAAATTATAACGGGAAACTTTATTAAGTAAACCAAATCTCTCAAATGTATGGAATTCCATATCTGCCGTCGCCCGTCGTGCGTCGCCCGTCATCCTTTTTTTGTCACGCTTGCGCAGTGCTGTTTTTCACTTTGGCCCTTGATACTTGTTCGATCAATCCGCCATGCCTGTCTGTCTTTCCCCGATATCCCAACAGATAACCCCCCCGGAAATACAAGAGAAACTTTGAACTGAGTTATATATAATAAATTACTTACAATGTGTGATTCTGGGTATACCTACAATGAAATCTGCTGTATACTCCAAATTGGACGTAGGCACACATGTCAGAAGTCTGTTAAACAGTAATGTTACTTTGTTAGCCCATAAATTGCGCTGACATGCTCGACTACCTGTGGTCATTGGTCTGTCCACCATAGCATACACACCCACAAAAGCCAACACGTCAGACTTTCTGAAAATCAAACCAAGTAATAATTACGCCCTAAAATTCAATAGACGGTTACTTATCCACAGTACAATTGACAAGAACAATTTGCCGTCTAGTATTTGTGGATTTCAAAGTAATATTGAGAGGAAATAATGCAATGTCTGTATCGGCTGGTAGATTTCTTTATAGAATTTCATGAAAACAAGTCAGCTCATTTTTAGAGTAGGCAAGAGTGAAGTAATTGCACTGCAGGTAAGTTTGCCTAAACATTTTTGCGGAAAGAACTTGTTTCCTAAAAACACTTGGTTGAATTCTGGACGTGCGACAGACAACGGGCGACGCCCGACGGACGACGCACGACGGGCGACGGCAGATATGGAATTCCATACAGATTTCGTATAGCTCATAAATATTAGCCATATGAATTACTGGACACAGCAAGAAGTTTTCCGGACTGATTCCCATGACGAAGATAGAAATTCATATTTTGCTGATCCGTGTTTAAGTTCTAAAAATATCCCTGATCTAAGAAGGCGTACTAGTAATGAGGTAACTTACTTTGCCAAGTCCCACACAGTAGATGGTCTGACTGCGCCATCCAGATGAATGTGCAGCTCCACCTGTAACACAGTCGTCCTAAGAAGTATAAATTATTTCTCTTCAAGAGGACGTTGTTTAACAGTATAAGATTCAGCCTGTAAAGCAAAAATGCTTATCAGGAAACCAGCGAGTGGCGTACTGTGGGTTTGAGACTAAATATCTGTACAGTGATGAACTTCATGCTACGTGGACCTATGAAGATCTCTAGGGCCCATTTACACAAAGTAGCAAGCAGTATTCAGATCAATCACAAAGGGAGAACAATTAAAAAGCCCTAAATATGCCATTCGAATTCTGCATGAAAGTAATACATAATTCAGACATGCATCTGTATCATGAACACCGCCCCCGTATTGTGTCATATGGTGTCGCCCGAGCCGACCCGGCACAATGTGCGCTGGTCTATTTAATCTTTTTTTTTTACATGTACATATCGAGCAACTTAATACCGTTCTTTAGAGTAGGAAAACCGTTTTGGAATCATTTGGGGATAAAGTGTATTGAAAAGTGCACTTTATAATGTAAATAATTATTTAAATTGCCCGTGCTTTTCTGGGAAACTGCATGAGGGCTCTGTTGTTATAATAATGCCGGCTCTGGATAATGCCATTCATTGAAGATGAGGGGCAGATGGTGTTGAGTGGCTATACATGTCCCCTTCAGAAACAAATAAAAACGTTCAAAGAATAACCATAGAAAGGTGATACTGGTCTATTTCATTTTTCATTTTTTCAAAACTGTACAAAGGCCTCCAATGTATTCTCATTCACCAGAAAGGCCATTAAAGGATACGCGAATTAAACACTTCCAAATTTTTGTCCCTCCCCCAAAACAATTGTGATCCTCCCCAAATGTGGTTCTCAACTGATACAAAAATGTGCACCGTCAAGATTTGTTGCAAACATTGTATAGCGTGAACTCTTTACAGGAACTAAATCAAAATTGGCATCTTTTTACAGTTTGTTGCTCTTTGTACAAATCAGAGGGCTCCCCCAACGATCGTCCTCATGCCCATGATCATACTGCAACATAATGTAATATATTCCGAACATACTGGCTACATGTACGTGAAGAACGTTTCGCATCAGTGTAGGTGCTTTTCATGTTCATGCACATTCTGACCGTACACGGTGTAGTCCTACAGTTAATCAGTGAAACAGCCAGCAGCATAAAGATGAACTGCTGTCACTGGTGAGGTGTAGTAAAAGGATTAAAGTCTACAATGTTTGTTATGTTGAAATGAAGATACGAACCTTTGGAGGTAGCATGGATTTCGATTCAACCTGCATTACTAGGCACTTCAAATCACTCCACGAGATCCAAGTTGTAATAGGTCCAAATCGAAAGGCTTCTCTTATGTGCCACCCTTGTGGTAATTCGTGTACCGGTACTGCTACTGTCAGTGTCGGAATGAACTATACCCCCGATCGGAGGCCACCTTCGATATTGCAATGGTTAAAGGGGCAGTTTCGGCTAGAGTTAATTTGTATCGGCGTTCACTATGGTCTGTGGGCTTATTTATGATTTTTTGTTGGGTACTTCTTACAAACAGACAATTTTTAGTCTGCCAGACACCCTCTTATAACGAGAGACAAGACAATTAAGGGAGAGCAAAATCTGACAAAGTTTCGAAACAAATTTCCCTTATACGTGAAAACTCCACCTGTTCTATCCATGTGAGTTAAGTCGAAAGGAGTGAGTTGTCACTCTTTGGGAATGAAGAGGAAGTATCAAATCGCTGCTGTTGCCTGTTAGGATTATTATTGCACGTCTAATATAATTGCAGTGATGTGAACTTTTGTTCCGCACGCGAGGTGAGTTTTTTTCATGTGTGGCTTACATGATTTAGCGACTATGCTGACGTGTTCTTTTTAGGCTTCTTATTCCCTCTGGTTTCACATCCCCTTTGAAACAACGTTGGAACATTATGGTCTGATCTTGAGTTCTTAAAAGTGTAATTGATAGAATTATTATTCTATTCTGTCCTTAGGTCATTGTTGCTTAAGTTATAAAAACTAATGCCGGTTGTCGTAATTATTTGTCACGAATTATGGGGGGTTGTGGCAAACTTGGAAGAGCGAGCACATGAATTGTCCCTTTTTCATTCTCAATGCGTACTGTCAAAGAAGGGTTGGAGAAATATTTAATTTATGCCATTCGGGGGGTTAGTTAAGTTTAAATCACGTCATCAGCTGTTACTTTAAGAGACTTTGAACACGTTGGTTGGCGTGATAACTGTGCATTGTTTTATTGTGTTATTATAGTTCTTGACGCGCAACTTTTGTGTGATGTCAAAGCCTTCGCAAACTGTGAGCGTGCCTTGTGAACTAGTTTACAGTACAGCACGTGCGCTGTCTGGAAACATCCTACACAATGCACATGTACTCTACATGTATTACAACATTATTGTTAGTACGTGCTTAAAGTGCAAATCTGCATCACGCTTTAATGGTTGATGCGCCATCTTAAAGATTTATGCCTGACTTGTAAGGGTAGTTTTGTTCACATCTGTTTTTTAGCCTACACCTGATTTGGCTGTTGTTCCCGTGCATAACCCGAGGACTTGTATAGCCAAAGTTATTTTGCACCAGGGTAAGATTGGGTTCCTATATTGTAGTCATGACTGGTCGTTCATTTATTAAGGTTAGCTAATTTCATGATGGTTTTGGAGGACTGAATATAGAACAACATGTCATTTGAGTTTTATATAGTAACACATATTGTGTTTAATATTTATTTAAGCAAATGAATCTACATACCAGGATTATTTTGAATCAAATATATTTCATTGGCAGGGCTGTTCTTCAGACAGAGTATGGTCTTTTTTGGTGGGATTACGGTCCTTGATGATGTAATCTATCTGAACGGGAGAATTTCGAAATAAACTGAAAATTTGGAATCAGTAACTACTTGTTTGTGTTTACACCTTCCTTCTCTTGACGAGAGTGGAACGAACAAGCCACGGCCTCGTCACATTTTGGCGTCGTATTGGGATGTTTTTGGATCGGGTCTGACTTCAATCAAGCAAAATCATTATTGTCATCTCTAATCAGCATCGCCATGGTTGCTGTGCAAAATGTTGTTTTGGACCCCTGGTGCAATTGTAAAAATTTGGCTGTGAAATATGTAGAAAATTTTTTTAAAAGGCTGTGTCAGCAGCGTATATGTTTAGTGGACTTGAGATGCCAACTCATGCTTCTATCTTAAAGATATGTTTGCTTTGGTTGTGTATATTGAGTAATATCTGTGCACGTGCTTTTAGTGTACACATAGCATCTCGGTTCACCTTATCGTATGTGACATAGTTAAATGAAGGCTCTGTGCTTCACACTTATCTAAACAGACCATGGCCTTGCCTGAAAATATCGCAGATGCCATTTTGCAATCCAACCAAACTCTCGCAGAAACATTAGCGGGTGCTTTCAAAAATCTCAGATACCAGAGGGCACCAACTATAAAGCTCACTTAAGTTTCATGGACACCCTAAGAAGGCAGGAGACCAGACTTTGGACGAATGGCTCCATGATACGTATGCACGGCAACTTGAGCTTTCGGAGAAAGAACAGGCAAATGCAATTTTGGATTTCTTAGGCGGGGTGGCAAGGGAAGAAGTAAACTGTAGTCCCTCTCAGGAGAAAGATACGCTTCCTAAGTTGCCTGAATTGCTGCGCAGTTGATTTGGGTCTTCTGAGACTATTCAGTCATTCACTGGTAAGCCGAAGGTAGTTAGAGGGAGAGAGTTTGGCCAATTTTAGCCGTGCGCTGATAAGTCTCTATGACAGAATGGAGTTGGCAGCCATTAGGGAGAAAGGTCGCAAGACGTTGATACAGTTACTGTAAAATGGCCTCAAAGAGCGGTATGTTCCAGGCGTCCTCGATTCATCGTTGCAGCGCGAGTTGCAGCGCGAGATGCGCAAGCTAGTTTTTGACCACTCAGACCTCTCATTTTTTGCTTTGCGCGAGATGGCACTGGGGCTTTTCACGGATCATGAGGTTGGAGGAAATTCTGAGATCTCTGGCAATGACCAAGTGCTCTCATTAGATGTGGTGCGCTCAGAGAAGGCTGAGAGTCAAATCAGAATGCAACCTTGATGCAAATCGTGGAAAGTCAAAAACAAGTGCTGACCTCAGTACAGCAATTAGTGACCCAGCAGCAGCAAGCCAATACCTAAATGCAAGCTATGACTAGAGTGCAAATGTACTTTACTTTCGGCCAGAAATTGGGTAACTGAGCTGAGAACTGCTTCAAACGACAGAGGGCTCAGGAAAACGAACTAGCCTGCGCAGCCCCAATCCAATGATAAGAGTAGCCTCCGCAACGGAGGAAATCTTTTGTGATGAATTGCCCACAACACAGTTGTCTGGTAGTTCTCTATATGTTTCAGAACAGAATGAATTTAGGAGTGGAGAAAAGAGTAGTGTCGCAGAAATGCAACAGAAACTCCTGGCCAGATGCCCTACAACCTCAATTTTACTCATTGGATTGAGAACACAATATATGTTGTATACAGGAGCAGGAAGATCTTTGGTTTCTTGGGAATTCTTCCATGAGCACCTATCGGGCGCAGGGAAACTCACATCAGACAATTCATTTTTAAGGTTAGTTTGGGGCCAACCAGTCAGAAATCCCTATCGAGGGATGTTTTGATGCCAAGTTGTAGATTTTTGGTAAGGAACTTCAAGTGAGTATGTTGGTTTCTAAAAGGATCACTTCATCTCCACTAAGGCGGAGAGAAAAGACATGCCCTGTGTTGTTTGGGTGCAATGTTCCAGAAAAATTGCTGCTATGATGAGTCAGGTTCAGACTGTGAATGTGGGTCAGATTGGGAGCTCGCTTTGCGCTGGCTGGTGCTGTGGAATCTTCGATTCCTGATCAAACTGAGGTCAATGAAAATTCCCTGAAATTTATGATGTGTAGACGGTGGGGTGTCATGTACCGTGGTTCCGCCTGGTGTGGTGCAAAAAGTGTCTTGTACTCTTGATACAGAGTTTCCCAACAAAACAAATGAGCACTATGCTTCACCTCTCGGGTTGTTTCCAAATGGTGGTATCGGTGACTCGCGGTCGAACGTTCCTTGTCAAATTGTACGGTGTCAAGTCCTTGAGGGCATCATGAAACCAAGTGGGGTCTCTCTGGGTGTTTTTAACGCCAACAAAATTTTGGAAGAAATCTCAATTCCAACTTTCCCAAACGTGGCCACACTTTTGAAGGCTCACATGAATGAGCAAATATTTGTTGAGCCCAGAGAGACGGAATGTTTTGTAAATGTACACCGTGCACTTGTAGATCCAGCTGCCTCACCATTGGTGGGAAACTGGTCAACCCTTCGATGAGGGGTTTGACCAAGCTCCTTTTGCGGGTTCGGGAGCAGATGGGGTTGACCAAGAACGGGACGGGAGACTTTCAGATTTCCAGATAGAACCGTTTATTCACTGCCTCCAGGGATCAGTTTGTCTAATCTCAGCCCTGCAGATACTGTGAAAGCAGCTGAGCTTATGAAGAAGCGTGATGCCGCTTTTTTAAGGGTCCTTTAGATATCGGTCACTGTGACCTGACACCACATCAGATTAAACTTGTCGATGACCACCTGGTGAATCTACCTTATAGAAGAGGGATGCCTGACTAAGTGTCAGAGGTGAAAAAGTTGCTTCAAAACTTATTAGACAGAAGAATAATTCAGAAATCAACAAGTCCATACGCCGGTCACGTTGTGTTGGTAAGCAAAAAGAACAGGCAGTTGCGACTGTGAGCCGATTATAGATAGGTAAATGCGAAAACCGTCAACTTTCTCTTTCCCTTGCCAAGGATTGAGGAGACTCTGGAGTCACTTGCAGGCGCCAGGCTCTTCTCATCCTTGGATGTGGCTCACGGTTATTTTCAAATCACACTCCATGAAGACTCCGTCGACAAGTCAGCTTTCTGCTTTCCGTGGGGACTTTATGAGTTTTTTAAGGATGCCGCAGGGTTTGACTGGAAGTCCCAGTATATTCCCGAGGATTGTTGAGGCAGTATTCAGTGATCTCATTTGACAGAATTAGTCAAACTTCTGGTTTTCTCAAGCTCATTTAGCCTAAACAACACATTGAAAGGTTGGAGGTTGGACAGGGTGTTACAACGACTTGAATCCAATGACCTAAAGCTGAATGGGAAGAAATGTCAACTCTTTCAGACGTCCGTTCGAAACTTGGGTCACATTGTCAGTGCCGATGGGGTGCATGTACACCCTGAAAAAACACACAGAGTTCGGGAATGGCCAGTTCCCACTGATATCCATCAGCTTCGATCATTTCTTGGGTTGGCTTCTTATTATAGAAGGTTGGTGCTAAATTTTGCTCGGATAGCAGAATCATTGCATCGCCTCACCCGTAAAGCTGAAGAAGAGCAGGGAAGGTAGGTTCGTCATTTGAGTGGTCAGAGGAAGCAGAG